TATAACGTGGTTGAATTTACGAAAAACTGAAATGAAAAATGTAACTGAGTAAACACGGTTAAATAAATACTGTCATTTATTACAGGCCTAAATCAATCACAGGGTCAAAGAGGTCAGGGTCAGATTCGTATGACGAATTCCTTGTTACTGAGATGCATATCGAATTGCACGTTCAGCGTATGCCATAACCTTATGTGCTTGCCACAGATATTGGCTTTTCCAATGTCTCAATTTGTTCAATTGTTCATGTTCTCATCTGACCAAGAGAGCATCAAAATAGCAACTTAGAAGACTGCTACAGTTTTGAATGACGTAGTTTATGTTTTTGGGTGCAAAGATTAGAAATAATTCGCTAGAGTTTGTCAAGGCGTGTTTCGAGCCTCTTATTTGGAAGGTGCGATGAAGAATGATTTTCAGGAAGCGGCTAATTTCTGAGAGCATTGTTTAATTACCAACATTTACTACAGCCTTATTTCAGCAGTTCATTGCCTGATCCAAGTGCAAAGTACTCGTATTCCGTACGGTATTCCGTTCCAGTCAAGGAGTAGCACATTTAAATGCGCGTCCGATAGTTCGTCTTTTGTCTGGATTACGAAGATGGATTTTGTCAAGCCTTAAATATAATCGATCGATCCATCTGACATATGATTTGCTCAATGTAGCTTCGATAAGTGACTTCCACCTACAAGTCCTTGTCACATCGAAACGTTTGCAACTATGGTTTTTTGAAGTCGAAGAGCAGCTGACAACAGGAGTATATAAAATTGCCATTTTCTGAGTATTTTATCACCGAGAACTGTCACCTTAACAGTCTTTCGAATAAGTCTAATCTTTACACAATATGTTTGCTTTATAAGACTGATTATCGTTCGATAACTTGTCCAATATTATGGCTCAGAAACTGGCAACATTCTTAACGTAAGTCCGTCTGTACCTTGAAATTCAATCAGGCCAGAGTTTGTGTATACTGGCAGACACGACGGTTTCAATGAAGGACCAAAGAAAACTGTTAAATCTGTTGACGAACTCTATTCGATTCCGAAAACATGTGCTCCAAACAGATATAAAACCCAGTCAGAAAAAAACTCCAATAAAAAGTCATATAGTTTTTCATGTGGTAACTGCAGTATGAGCGATTACACAGATAGAATCGAATCCAATTTCTCCTAGGAAGCTTACTTTCCACTGGTACCTGCCAGTAAAAGTGTTATAAAGCCGCGAATACAATTTATATCACCAATCGACACGTTCTACGCATGCAAACACTAGTTATAGCCAAAAATCGTGATGATGAGGTGCAATGGATCGAAATGTTAGTTCAAGAAAAATCATCTCTTCCATATATGTAGCAGATATTCGATGGCCACAGACATAGAAAGCCTAGAAGACCCATGATAAAGTTTCTATCACACGGTCAACAAAGTGAGAACATAAAAACACTATCTCAAAGATGGCTAATGTTGCATGACCCAAACACTAGATGCTCTCACTCAAGCGGTTTATTACCGTTTTTCATAACATCGTGCTGTTTCATTTGCATAACCTGCGACATAAACCGCAGACTACGCAAAAGAGTATATAAAAATGTACATCTGAAATAACAACAAACCAGAGGAAGACGAACCAATGGATAAGAGCACAAACAGGAATGCTCGATGTCATTTCACAACTGAAGAAGTTTAAATAGCAATGGGTAGTACAAACTGCAAGAAGAATCGACCATTTTTTGATCAGACACATTAGAGTGGATTCCAAAATGGAGTAAACAGTTCGGACAAAGAGCTATAGATCGATGGCAGGGTGAGCTAATATCAGGATAAATTCCTGTATCAAATTAGATTTTAAAAAAACTGACTAGCAAAATCTTGGAGAGGCCTTCGTGGATCGAAAAATGCGTATGATGATTACTGTTATGCTAAGGTCAAACACCGGCGTTTTACATCGTGCTTGTACACTGTTGCTATTTAGTATGAATAAGGAGGTGAACACCATTAAAAGAGAAATTTTAATATCAGTTTTTAAGGATTTGTTTGTAGCCGTCGAAATGGTAATGTCTTAACCGAACAAGAAGAAGAGACAGAATCTAAACAAATTTTGAGATCACAACTATCGCCTTTCCGATTTTCAAATCGCCATCAAACCATCATATTGTACCAATGAACATTTTTGGTCATCGACGCTATGATATAAACATACCCATAAATAAGTATATACAATTAGTTTTAATAATATGAAAGTTAACTTAACGGATTGTTTTCCTGATGAATGATTGCAACCTTAAACGTAAAACAGGGGATTAAATGCTTTCATTAATAGTTGACGCATCGACTTAATTTTCGATTAAAACCTTTCCCTATCTGTTTTATGTTTTTGATTTTAACCATGCTTCAAGAAAACAATACGACGATGAATTATAGTCGAAGGATCAA